AGTTAACAGCCTGAGGAGACATCCTGGCTGCACTAACATCTTCTAATACAACAGATCTCTAATCAATATCTATCTAACTAAGAAATTACCTAACAGACACATGCTAGTTGTTACAGTGGAGCACTGGTGGAAGTTCAGTTTACTGGATTGAGAGAGAACTGTGATGCAACCACAAGTCCCTAGAAATGGTGCAGCGAACAGAGTGCACAAGAGCCATTACATTACAGCCAATCAATGTCCTGTATAAAAAACCTAAGTCATTTATTTACTTACTGTATGTCTAAACACCAAATTTCTCATAATACAAAGTTTACTAACTGCTGCTTGACAGTGGTCACCTTCAGATAGAATCACTCACACAACCAGCAACTTGTGCTGAGCAGGTTCTTCTTGTGGCTACTTCCTGTTAAGGATACGCTCTATAAAGTTTCAAAGTAGTGGGCTGAAAGTGCACATCCTCTGAAAGCCACAACACTTGGCACACTTGCGCAATGTAATTACTGAGGCTTTAGTTACTATATAAGCATTTCTAGGAACCAGAGCTTCCCTATAGTATCACACTGGTGGAGACACATTTTAAATAAGGACTAATGTAATGAGTAATGATTTCAGGGTGGTGGGATGGTTAGCGTTGTTGCCTCACAGCAAAAAGGTTCTGGGTTCGCAACCTTTCTGTGTGGAGTTTGCATGTTCTCCCCATGCATGGGTTCTCTCTGGGTGCTCCAGCTTGCTCCCACAGTCCAAAGACATGCAGGTTAGGTTGACTGGCAACTCTAAATTACCCACATTAGTGCATATATATGTATATCCCAATTTGGGTTGCGTCAGGAAGGGCATCTGGCGTAAAACACGTGCCAAATGTATACACGCGGACGGTTGATTCACTGTGGCGACCCCTAACAGGAACAGTCAAAAGTAGTAATGAGGAATGATTTTGTTTTAAAATACCATCCCTTATGTTCTTTATAGGGCATTAGCAAGAGTGTAAAAATATGCAACTGTCCCTCAGACGGAGTTTGATGTGAAGCCTGGAAATATGGCGATTCTGTGCTAAATGCTGATATCTCAATAGGCTGGCCTTGCAGTTATATATTGTGCCTAACCTTGATGGTAGTCTCCACTGTGCAGGGCTTTTGATAGATTGGAGCTGGTCTACGATGGTTGCATAACATCTGGTTAAGCTGCAGATCGACTAGTAAAAACCAGCATAAAACTAGAGGCTGGCCATTAAACCATCTTGGACAGCTTATCAGTATTGTGGTTAGTACATCTCCTGCTGTGACCCAAAATGATTTAAGTTACAAGGTAAGAATGTGTCTGGTCTACCATCACTGGTTATCTCCTTTATCACTGTCAGACTGTTCAGATATGCTCAGCAGCATTAAAAACCAAAAAGATGAATTGTTTACTGATAAAGTAACAGCAGCAGTTCAGTTTGCTCAAAGCTGTGGTTTGCCTTTTCCAGTGATTTTGTTTTTGTAGAGCCAAAAATGACATGAAGCATATTTCATTTGCTCTCTGGAGAACACACTGAAACAGAGTGAATGTGCTGTACAGAGTTAGAACAAGTTCAAGTATCTGAAAACCTCGATCTTCATGGAGCGCGAACAGCAGGACCATGTTTCTCTCTGCTGTAGCTATTACCTCCCGCTTTTATAATGTGAATGTGAAATGAATGAAGCACTCCTGTAAAAATATACAGTATGTATCAATAGTTGTGCTGTATGGTTGAAATGGTTTCTACTTTGAATGTTTTGGTGACATGCCTATTGATTGAATGATACTTCCTTTGGTAGTTTTTCAGTAAATATTTATAGATGCCATTTCTGCACAGAAAAAAATTACACTTGTTTCACTTTTTAATGTCAAATTATTTTTAAATATTGCATATCAGACATTTGAGGTTGTTCCCTTAAATCAACTGTTTAACATTTTGTAAGGTTTGCTTATTTGTATTATTGTAAGAAGTTGACTGATAAGATTGATAAGTGCCATAAAGGTAAATATGCAGCCAGAGCCAGCAGCTCTAACTTGCTAAGTATTGACTTAGTAGGGTGTCACAACATTTGTACATACCACAGTAAAAGTGGACTTTTTCTATTTTTTTTCCACTTCCTTAATCAAACAGTGGCAATGCATTAAAGTGTGAAAATGGCTGATTTTATTTGGTTGTATTAACTTCTTTTCACTTGAACTTTTGCATACAGGTGTTAATTTAAAAAACATTGACCTATCCCTTTAATGCAATGATCATGATTTTCTCCATTGCAGAATGGTCTGTAAAATCCACGATGTTTTTACGCACATATTTAGCAGATCTGTTGATGCCAGTTGCAGTTTAGTGTTTTGTAAATGTTTCATAATGTATAAAGCACAAATAAATCATAAATACTAAATGTCCTTCACCGATGTGGTCACTGCATTAAAGAATTACTCCTTCAGAAGAAGTTGGGTTTCTGGGATTTATTGTTTCTTCAAGCACTTCTCAAAAACAACGTGTGTGCAATAGCCCATTGGTAATGTACAGTTTCCTTTCCTCCCTGTGTTTTGTAACTAATTTATGCATTCTGCCATATTTGTCAATTTTGAAATCCTGGAAACAGGATTACATTATAAGTTTGGAAAAAGAGTTCTAAGAGAAGAGAACTAAGGACTAAGGGTGGAAAATTAGCAGCTGTCAGCCTCTGTAAACTATGACAGTAATTAGACTCATCTTCCTGTGACTTCTTTGAATCAACTGAACAACTGTGCACCATCTGTGCCAGAATGGAAACAACATATCCAGTACAGTAAATCTATGCATTAAACATCCCAAAGATAATTAATGAATGGAGAATAAAACTGGCCCAAATGCAGGCTCATAGGTCACCCTGCAGAGCAACTTTACACATGGGCACTCGGATATCATCAAAACTCCAGTCTTAAGCAAACTTTAAGGTAGATCGAGTATTTAAGAACATTAGAATGACCAGCAAGATAGCAACGAACGTGTAGTTCAATTTATTTGCATCTGAGGTTAGAAGGAAGTGATTCATTACTGCAGAGAGGTTTTGAAAACAAAATGAAACAAGAAACAAGCAGCTCTTTTGTAACCACCCAAACAGGGAAGTTTTGAATTCACAGAATTTTGGTTTTGTGGAAGGCTACAGTTCTGAGAATGGCTGAGAAGCCATGTACTTTCTGTCATTAAGCTTTTTTTTCTGTGGCATAGATATGCTGCAATCCATATAAAATAATATTATAGTAATATAAAGCTTATTTTGGTGTCATTTTCTTCTTTTGTAACTTGTAGGATTGATTCAGGTTTAGAGGCAGCATTAGCCTACATTTCACTGACACTGTTAAAAGGTGCTGGATGCATTAAATACCAATTAGAACTTGTTGGTCTGCACACTTGCAGTCTATATGCAGCAAGTCTCCACAAACCCAGCTACACGGGACATAGCTGTGTTCTACTTGGGTGTTCCTGGCATGAAAAATGTGTAAATATGGTGAGGATGACAAGAGATTAATGAAGTCTCCTCACCGTGGTGAAGGGCATGTGGTGTATAATCGGTTATCTGATGTAATCTTGGTGTAACTCCACAAGTATATTTTTCACCAAGCCATTGACCTACGTGAATGATAATCAATGATTCCAAAATTATGAAAAGTACAAGATGACCATAAATAGGCTGTTCTAAATGTGAGAACCTACATACCACCTGACGTTTTCACTACTAGTGGGGCTATGAAACCATTCGCTGTTATTCCTGGTAAGTAGCTAATTCTGTGACTTGGTTCAAAATTTCCACGAATGATTAACCTGTGCCTATCTGTATTACCCCGGCATAAAATTCTATTCTGCTGTTAAATAAATATAGGCAATACTTCAACGGCAAGTCTAAGCTCCGACATGCACCATTATGGCTCTGAGGTTATTTAAACCATGAACGTTGAGCAAGCTTGAATGAAACAGGATTCCTAGTGGGACACTTTCAGATTTAAAGCCCCAGTTACATCGTGCAATCTACAGCTTTTAATTTGTACACTCAAACCTTAAACTTCCCTGTTATACTCCAGCTAACCTGATGCAGCTCCGAGTGGCTTCATACCTCAGTGTGCAGCAACAGCGCCCTCTGGTGGTCAACTCCGGCAGAGCAAATATGTCGGCTCAGACTGGTCCTGATGCTGCGGTGATACAGAAAGCAGCGATATGAGAGGATGTGAAGTATCTAAACGGTGCCAGGTCCAGGCTTTCATGGCGCAGTCTCTGTGGCGCAATGGAATAGCGCGCTGGACTTCTAATCCAGAGGCTCCGGGTTCGAGTCCCGGCAGAGATGACTCACACAGTCTGCCGCACAGTAGACCA